CCGAGGAGAGAGCCGTATGATGGACTCCGAGGAGAGAGCCGTATGATGGACTCCGAGGAGAGAGCCGTATCATGGACTCCGAGGAGAACGCCGTATGATGGACTCCGAGGATAGAGCCGTATGATGGACTCCGAGGATAGAGCCGTATGATGGACTCCGAGGATAGAGCTGTATGATGGACTCCGAGGATAGAGCCGTATGATGGACTCCGAGGAGGACGCCGTATGATGGACTCCGAGGAGGACGCCGTATGATGGACTCCGAGGATAGAGCCGTATGATGGACTCCGATGATAGAGCCGTATGATGGACTCCGAGGAGGACGCCATATGATGGACTCCGAGGATAGAGTCGTATGATGGACTCCGAGGATAGAGTCGTATGATGGCGACTCTCAGAATGTCATACGATGGTGACTCTAGTGGCAGAAAATAAGCACTGCGAGGGGAATTCCTGGATTGAATGTGAATATCTGCTGCTTCTTCTTTCACTGTCCAATCACAGACTCTGGGCAGAATGTTCAGAGAAAGGGAGTTGAATGATGTTGGTCATCAAACTGAGGACATCTAGTGGCAGAAAATGAGCACTGCAAGAGGAATTCCTGGATTGAAGGTGAATTTTGCGGTTTGCTGCTTCTCCTTTCACTGTCCAATCACAGGCTGGGGGCGGAGAGCTCAGAGAAAGGGAGTTGAATGATGTTGGTCATCAAACTGAGGACATCTAGTGGCAGAAAATAAGCACTGCAAGAGGAATTCCTGGATTGAAGGTGAATATCTGCTGCCTCTCCTTTCACTGTCCAATCACAGGCTGGTGGAGGGACAAGACCTTAGTTGCAGCAGAGAAAGATTAGGTCTTTGCTGTGTAAATCTCAGGACTGGATAGACAGGAATACAAATCCTTTGGGAATATATATATATATATATATTTTGTCTGTGTATTTAGCTGTTCAGCGGCAGATGATGGTCCCATGTGACGAGCCTCGGTGTGACTTCTGCTCCCAACTTTGAAGGCGCCGTATCGCAGACAGTGTCTATAACCTCGGCATCAGAAGCACTCCCGCACATTTCTTGGATGGATGTAAAATATTTAGAAGCCAAGACTGGTGTGTTTCCCTCCCGGTTAATAATACATGGAGTCTGCAGACCCAGCGCAGCATGTGTGAGAGCCCCGCTGAAAGCACCTTCCGCTGTCACATGACCTGTGAAAAGGCGTGGTGTGCTTTAACTCTGTCAGCCTCAGGGACGAATTTCAGTGATGTGAGAGGGCGGACTGACCATTTGGAAGCTCGGGCACTGCCCGAGGACCCAGGGTCAGTGGAGGGCCCCATGAAATGCCCCTGGTACCTTTTTCATAGGCTTTTTTGAGTTTGGGCAAGGACACAGGGGCCCTATGATCTCCTATTGCCCGGGGGCCCCATGAGTTGTCAGTCCGCCCCTGGTGATGCGTCAAAAAAAAGACAAATTGGGGAGTCGCTGGGACTTTACAACGTGTTCCTTCAATAAAAAATGGAGAAAACCTCATGGATGAGCTCAATGGCTCCGCCCAGGCTCTCCCGCGACAGGTAATCAGAATGGGACTCGAGTGAGACCACAGGGGGCGCCAGAGTCCAGTTATAATCTCATACAACATTCAACGCGTTTCAAGGGCCACTCCCCCTTCATCAGGGCTACAATCAAATATTAAGAAAAAGAATGTACATACACACTCCTTACAATATGTGTCCCTACCTCTCACAGTGCTCTCCAACCTCCCACAGTGCTCTCCAACCTCTCACAGTGCTCTCCAACCTCTCACAGTGCTCTCCAACCTCCCACAGTGTCCCCAACCTCCAACAATGTCCCCACCTCCCACAGTGCTCTCCCACCAACAATAGTGTCCCCAACCTCCAACAATGTCCCCACCTCCCACAGTGCTCTCCCACCAACAATAGTGTCCCCAACCTCCAACAATGTCCCCAACCTCCCACAGTGCTCTCCAACCACCAATAGTGTCCCCCAACCTCCAACAATGTCCCCACCTCCCACACTGCTCTCCAACCTCCAACAATGTCCCCAAACTCCCACAGTGCTCTCCAATTGCCAACAGTGTCCCACCCTTTCACAGTGCTCTCCGACCTCCAATTATATCCCCAACTCTCACAGTACTCTCCAACTTCCAACAATGTCCCCACCTCCCACACTCCTCCCCAACCTCCAACAATGTCCCCACCTCCCACAGTGCTCTCCAACCTCCAACAATGTCCCCAACCTCCCACAGTGCTCTCCAATTGCCAACAGTGTCCCTACCCTTTCACACTGCTCTCCAACCTCCAACAATGTCTCCACCTCCCACACTGCTCTCCAACCTTCAACAATGTCCCCACCTCCCACAGTGCTCTCCAACCTCCAACAATGTCTCCACCTCCCACACTGCTCTCCAACCTCCAACAATGTCTCCACCTCCCACACTGCTCTCCAACCTCCAACAATGTCTCCACCTCCCACACTGCTCTCCAACCTTCAACAATGTCCCCACCTCCCACAGTGCTCTCCAACCTTCAACAATGTCCCCACCTCCCACACTGCTCTCCAACCTCCAACAATGTTGCCAACCTCCCACAGTGCTCTCCAACCTCCAACAATGTCCCCACCTCCCACAGTGCTCTCCAACCTCCAACAATGTCTCCACCTCCCACACTGCTCTCCAACCTTCAACAATGTCCCCACCTCCCACAGTGCTCTCCAACCTCCAACAATGTCTCCACCTCCCACACTGCTCTCCAACCTCCAACAATGTTGCCAACCTCCCACAGTGCTCTCCAACCTCCAACAATGTCCCCACCTCCCACAGTGCTCTCCAACTTCCAACAGTGTCCCCAACCTTTCACAGTGTTCTCCAGCAGTAGCCCCAACATTCTTCAGCCTCTCACTGTGCCCCCCCAGCCTACCGCAGAGCCTCCATCCTCCATAGTCCCTACAACCTCCCACAGTGCCATCCAGCCTACCTGCAGCACACTCCAGTTTCCCACAGTACTCCTCTAAGGTCCACAGCCTTCAGGAGAACCCCCCCCCCCCCCCCCCAGCCTCTCCAGAGACCCCATCCCTTGCATTTCCCTCCCAAACCTCTCCGGAAACCTCACCCTGTTGTGAACCACTGGCCTAGACAATGTAACCCTTGGTTACCAAGAGCACTGTGTGTATTTCACATCATTGGAGACTGTAGGGAGTGTATTGCTTTCAATCACAGATCATGTCAGCAAAGCACAGTCCTTGTGCAGCAGTGCAAAGCCAGAAGCTGGGCCTGCAGCGGGCAGCTTCAATCCTGCGTGTCCCTCTACCCGTCCTCTGAACTCATTTCTAGCCGAGGCCGTCTTGTATTGACATCTAGCGGTGCTTGGGGCATTTGTGCCCGAAAACCCTAGAGGGTCGTCCTAATAATACACGAAGGATCATCGCACTTGTTGGAGCTTCCATCCCGAGCGCAAATCAATTTCCTGTCTGACAATAATCGATTGAACTACATTTGTCACCGCACGGCGCTCGTGTCCCCTCCTGAGACCTGGACCGACTTTGTTCAACCGCTCTGGACAAACGCATCTGAAATGTCACTCCTTTCCCACAGCTCCGCTCTGTACTGGGGTCCGGAGGAGTGTTATATAGCTAACGTTTCAGCTACTTATATTTTCTCTCCCCCCCCCCTTCCTATCTCCATGCAAATACCTTTATTAAATAAAACCTATTTTTATTACATATAATTATATTTTAGACTGGGTGTCACGGTTCCCCCCACATGCCACGCCCACAGCGACTAGCTAACCGAGGCGCGTACGTGTGGCCGTGACTTGGGGTAAGAGGGAATAAAGGGGACTCAACTTTGAATATATAAAACCGTATATAAGATCAGCCGTGATATCCTTTCACAGCCCGCACTACCTCTGCCCACCACCAGAGGGAGACTCCACTCCAATCCAGCCGGTCGACCACAAACTGGCAGATACAAATCTTAGATACAATCTGGTGCACTGATTAGAGTTGAGGACCAGCTTAGCAATCACACACCCTTCTAAGGTTTCTCTAGCTATCCTACAGCTTGAACCCCGGTGTTAATCACCCTTCCACTGTCCACCCCCCCCCCCCCCCCCCACACCAGACACACCACAAAAGGTAGCTTACCACCACCCAACAGTTTATCCGCAGAACGGTCTGCTGAGACACCCCACACACACAGATCTCTGTCTGGCAGATCTGTTACCTTTACAATCTGCACGCAATCTGCCCCCACACACAGTGCAATTGCATACAGATTGGCAATGAGCCTGACCGAGCGTTTAAAGGCACTAAAATACAAGTCGGGGATTGAATTTCCGACACCAGCGCATCAGTCCGATCGCGACAGTACCAATCACTGTTCGGCTGTCGCAATCCAGCGCCACAAAACCATTTCCTGCATTTTTCTGGCATTCTGCACAGGCCACAAATACGGTTTTTACATGCAGATGCGGCCCACAGAGTGCCCCATCAGAAGGAAGTATTTTCATCTCTCTGCAACTAATATTTTAGCTTTTATGAGGGATGAAACATACTCCTTGATCTGTGTATATACTTTTAGAGAGCTCCCCAGACAGATCAGAGACCCCTGGTGTCATGAAGCCAAAACGTCTGCGTTCCTCTTTTAAACTTCAGGAAGGTGGCAGAGTCTGATTATATAGGTGACAAAATCTTATTGGCACCCAGGTGTCACTTCCAGCCTGAGGAAGTTCTGTCTCTTTTCAGATGCTAATAAGTGACCATCTGTCTCTTGAATACCTATGGCTGAATATTTCTTTAATAACAAGGAATGAAACTACATTTACGATTACATATTGCTACAGGTCACATTTCAGCTACTCAAATCTGTACATTTATGTCACACTGGGTCTCTATGCTTCTCTATGAGGAGGAGTTATGCAAATATCACAATGCCTTGATGGGTGGAGGTCAGTCTTGACAAGTGGGCGTTCCTAGGCAGAATGTATTTGCATGGACAAAACCCTAGGTAACACCCACATGCGCCAATTAACCCTCCCTGTAACCCTAATATTAACCCTCACCCCAAAACCTTCACAACCAGATCTGTGAACACTAAATCAATCACTGTAAAACCAAACCTCCCTGCAACCCCAACACTAACCCTCCTTGTAACCCCAACACTAACCCTCCCTGTAACCCCAACACGAACCCTCCCTGTAACCCCAACACTAACCCTCCCTGTAACCCCAACACTGACCCTCCCTGTAACCCCAACACTGACCCTCCCTGTAATTCCAACACTGACCTTCCCTGTAACCCCAACACTAACCCTCCCTGTAATTCCAACACTGACCCTCCCTGTAACCCCAACACTAACCTTCCCTGTAACCCAAACACTGACCCTCCCTGTAATTCCAACACTGACCCTCCCTGTAACCCCAACACTGACCTTCCCTGTAACCCCAACACTAACCCTCCCTGTAATTCCAACACTGACCCTCCCTGTAACCCAAACACTAACCTTCCCTGTAACCCCAACACTGACCCTCCCTGTAACCCAACACTGACCATTCCTGTAACCCCAACACTGACCTTCCCTGTAACCTCAACACTGACCCTCCCTGTAACCCCAACACTAACTCTCCCTGTAACCCCAACACTGACCCTCCCTGTAACCCCAACACTAACTCTCCCTGTAACCCCAACACTGATCTTCCCTGTAACCCCCAACACTAATCCTCCCTGTAACCCCAACACTAACCCTCCCTGGAATTCTAACACTGACCTTCCCTGTAACCAAAGCACTAACTCTTCCTGTAACCCCAACACTAACCCTCCCTGTAACCCCAACACTGACCCTCCCTGTAATTCCAACACTGACCTTCCCTGTAACCCCAACACTGACCTTCCCTGTAACCCCAACACTGACCCTCCCTGTAATTCCAACACTGACCCTCCCTGTAACCCCAACACTAACCCTTCCTGTAACCCCAACACTAACCTTCCCTGTAACCCCAACACTAACCCTCCCTGTAACCCCAACACTGACCTTCCCTGTATTCCCAACACTAACCTTCCCTGTAACCCCAACACTGACCTTCCCTGTAACCCCAACACTGACCTTCCCTGTAACCCCAACACTAACCTTCCCCCGTAACCCCAACACTAACCCTCCCTGTAACCTCAACACTGACCTTCCCTGTAACCCCAACACTGACCCTCCCTGTAACCCCAACACTGACCTTCCCTGTAACCCCAACACTAACCCTCCCTGTAACCCTAACACTAGCCCTCCCTGTAACCTCAACACTGACCCTCCCTGTAACCCCAACACTGACCTTCCCTGTAACCTCAACACTGACCTTCCCTGTAACTCCAACACTGACCTTCCCTGTAACCCCAACACTAACCCTCCCTGTAACCCCAACACTGACCCTCCCTGTAACCCCAACACTGACCTTCCCTGTAACCCCAACACTAACCCTCCCTGTAACCCCAACACTAACACCCCTGTAACCCCAACACTGACCTTCCCTGTAACCTCAACACTGACCCTCCCTGTAACCCCAACACTGACCTTCCCTGTAACCCCAACACTAACCCTCCCTGTAACCCCAACACTGACCTTCCCTGTAACCTCAACACTGACCCTCCCTGTAACCCCAACACTAACCCTCCCTGTAACCCCAACACTGACCTTCCCTGTAACCCCAACACTAACCCTCCCTGTAACCCCAACACTAACACCCCTGTAACCCCAACACTGACCTTCCCTGTAACCTCAACACTGACCCTCCCTGTAACCCCAACACTGACCTTCCCTGTAACCCCAACACTAACCCTCCCTGTAACCCCAACACTGACCTTCCCTGTAACCCCAACACTGACCTTCCCTGTAACCCCAACACTAACCCTCCCTGTAACCCCAACACTGACCTTCCCTGTAATTCCCACATGCAACCTCTTTAGCATAAATGTTAGAAAGAATGGCCGGCTCAGCTACAAGACCCCGTGTCCTGGTACTTCCGATGACGGGGTGCAGAATCTCTGGCGGGCCACATTATAAAATTACCACTTGAGAAGAAGAAAAGGACTGACTCTTCATTGGAAAGCCATAGCAGAGTTTTTATTGGTCCACTCGATGCACTGACACCTGCACTACCTGCCTGCACTCTCACCTCTCCGTCTCCAGCCCTTCCCCCGCCACCCCAAATTTGTATTTTAGAGAATTCCATGTATAGCTGTAGATGTGCTTTGTGATAATAAAGACGTGTAAATCTGCTGTATCTCCCCATGTATGGCTGTCCTCTGAACCCCCATGTATGGCCGTCCTCTGAACCCCCCATGTATGGCGGTCCTCTGAACCCCCCATGTATGGCCGTCCTCTGAACCCCCCATGTATGGCCGTCCTCTGAAACCCCCCATGTATGGCCGTCCTCTGAACCCCCCATGTATGGCCGTCCTCTGAACCCCCCATGTATGGCCGTCCTCTGAACTCCCCATGTATGGCCGTCCTCTGAACCTCCCATGTATGGCCGTCCTCTGAACCCCCCATGTATGGCCGTCCTCTGAAGCCCCCATGTATGGCCGTCCTCTGAACCCCCCATGTATGGCCGTCCTCTGAACCCCCCATGTATGGCCGTCCTCTGAACCCCCCATGTATGGCCGTCCTCTGAACTCCCCATGTATGGCCGTCCTCTGAACTCCCCATGTATGGCCGTCCTCTGAACCCCCCATGTATGGCCGTCCTCTGAACCCCCCATGTATGGCCGTCCTCTGAACCTCCCATGTATGGCCGTCCTCTGAACCCCCCATGTAATGGCCGTTCTCTGAAGCCCCCATGTATGGCCATTCTCTGAAGCCCCCATGTATGGCCGTCCTCTGAAGCCCCCATGTATGGCCGTCCTCTGAACCCCCCATGTATGGCCGTCCTCTGAACCCCCCATGTATGGCCGTCCTCTGAACCCCCCATGTATAGCGGTCCTCTGAAACCCCCATGTATGGCCGTCCTCTGCACCCCCCATGTATGGAGGTCCTCTGAACCCCCCATGTATGGCCGTCCTCTGAAACTCCCACGTATGGCCGTCCTCTGAACCCCCATGTATGGCCGTCCTCTGAACCCCCCATGTATGGCCGTCCTCTGAAACCCCCATGTATGGCCGTCTTCTGAACCACCCATGTATGGCCGCCCTCTGGACCACCCATGTATGGCCGTCCTCTGGAACCCCCATGTATGTATGTATGGCAGTCCTCTGAACCCCCCCATGTATGGCCGTCCTCTGAACCCCCCATGTATGGCCGTCCTCTGAACCCCCCATGTATGGCCGGTCCTCTGAACCCCCCATGTATGGCCGTCCTCTGAACCCCCATGTATGGCCGTCCTCTGAACTCCCCATGTATGGCCGTCCTCTGAACTCCCCATGTATGGCCGTCCTCTGAACCCCCCATGTATGGCCGTCCTCTGAACCCCCCCCCATGTATGGCCGTCCTCTGAACCCCCATGTATGGCCGTCCTCTGAACCCCCCATGTATGGCCGTTCTCTGAAGCCCCCATGTATGGCCATTCTCTGAAGCCCCCATGTATGGCCGTCCTCTGAACCCCCCATGTATGGCCGTCCTCTGAACCCCCCATGTATGGCCGTCCTCTGAACCCCCCATGTATAGCGGTCCTCTGAACCCCCATGTATGGCCGTCCCTCTGCACCCCCCATGTATGGAGGTCCTCTGAACCCCCCATGTATGGCCGTCCTCTGAACTCCCACGTATGGCCGTCCTCTGAACCCCCATGTATGGCCGTCCTCTGAAGCCCCCATGTATGGCCGTCCTCTGAAACCCCCATGTATGGCCGTCTTCTGAACCACCCATGTATGGCCGCCCTCTGGACCCCCATGTATGGCGTCCTCTGGAACCCCCATGTATGGCAGTCCTCTGAACCCCCCATGTATGGCCGTCCTCTGAACCCCCCATGTATGGCCGTCCTCTGAACCCCCCATGTATGGCGGTCCTCTGAACCCCCCATGTATGGCCGTCCTCTGAACCCCCCATGTATGGAGGTCCTCTGAACCCCCCATGTATGGTCGTCCTCTGAAACTCCCACGTATGGCCGTCCTCTGAACCCCCATGTATGGCCGTCCTCTGAAGCCCCCATGTATGGCCGTCCTCTGAAACCCCCATGTATGGCGTCCGTCTTCTGAACCACCCATGTATGGCCGCCCTCTGGACCACCCATGTATGGCCGTCCTCTGGAACCCCCATGTATGGCAGTCCTCTGAACCCCCATGTATGGCCGTCCTCTGAACCCCCCATGTATGGCCGTCCTCTGAACCCCCCATGTATGGCCGTCCTCTGAAACCTCCATGTATGGCCGTCCTCTGAACCCCCATGTATGGCCGTCCTCTGAACCCCCCATGTATGGCGGTCCTCGGCCGTCCTCAGTCCCTCAATCACATGTCCTGAACATTGCACTACACCCGGATCAATACATGTGAAGATTTATCTGATGGGTGAGAGGCGAAGGCAGTCCGAGCCGCGGGCGTTCAATACCCCAGAAATATCTATTTCATGATCTATTGTACACATCGCCTAAATCCTAAGTGGGACTTTTCACAGGGAGGGGGTGTTTACTGCACCCATAAAACACATCCGTCACGCCATAAAATGTTCATTTTGCAGATTTACCGTCTGCTGGAGGCGCGCGTACGGCCCATAAAGCCTCAATACGTTTCCCCGGCACTTTTTCCAGTACAGTACACTTTACGGTCCTCCCAGGTCACATCATTTCACAGCAGCGCAGTCAGCGCTATTTACTGAAAGCCTCGCACCACGTAAATCAGAGGCTGTATACCGATGTGATCGCCATGACACGCAAGATCAAAGATTCCTCGCCAAAAAAAAACGAAAGCTCGAGTCCTCACGCACGCGGGACGTTTTTACAGCGGCTGTTTTTGGCTTTTGATGGTTTTTTTCTGCAGCCAATAAACCCCCCGGCATGTTATCCTCGGTGTTCATACCCACATAGACTGGAATCAACGTTTTTTGGCTGGAAAAACCAGAACTAGCGGTCTTCTAGAGAAGTTTTTTAGCTGTAAAAATGCTAAAAAGGACGTATATTTCATTTGGGTGCGGCATTGCATGACCGCGCAATTGCCAGTTAAAGAACCCCGTGCCATATCGCAAAAAAAATGACCTGGTCAGAAAGGGGGGAGGGGAATCCTGTGGAGGGGGTTAAAGAATAAGTTCTGTGTACTAACTCTGAAAAATGCAGTGCAACGCCGCAAATGCCAGCATTTTTAGACTTTTTTGACCCCAAAAATTCTTATTTTTGTGTAAAAAAAAATGCTAAAAAATGCAAATGCGGAAAAACTCCGCTAAACGTGGCAAGACACCGCTAAACATGAATGCAAAAATGCTAAAAAAGCTGAAAAACTGATGTTTTTAATGTGACTTTATACAGCTAATATTACCAGCGTTACCAAAACGCCCCGCCCAGCGCGCACGGAGCCGGAACTAGCGGGTGTCTAGAGGAGTATTCTTTAGCTGTAAAAACGCTCTAACATTGAAAAATACGGTAAAACGCGGTGAATCTCAGAAAACCAG